GGTTTCCTGCCCCCGGTGCATGAGCAAATTCAGGGAGACTGCGCATGCAGTGTTGGTACGGACACTGCATGGTATGTGACTGAAGCGCCCGCTCTGGCCTTCTATACCCACTTTATTACCCTCCACATTTTCCCCAACGAAAGATTCGGACCCCAGAGACCCAGCAACAGCCCCCCTTTCAAAACTCCCTTGACTATCAGTGAAAAAGGACTCTAATTCGTCCAAAGTAATGAATGTTTTGCTTGACATTTCACTAGGCTGGCCTACACTCTGCAAGACCCTTATCCAGCCTGCGTCCCCGCCTAGTGGTGAGTCGGACGCCAGACTAACTCGACCTGGTGTATTCATGACGAAAAAACACTCAAGGTTTTACCTGTTTTTCCTCAGTCAGACGTGCCGCCGCTGCCACCAATGTAACATTGACCGAATCCTGGGTTGTCACACGACAGGTGAAGGAATACACAGGCACTATTTCTCAGGGTTCTTCTGACTCTAGGCCGTTTATTTTTAGACTAGTTTGACACGAGACTCCTCCTTTTTACAACTCACACACAACAACGTGATTATATGGAAAATCCCTACTGAGTTGACGTCGCCTGGCAACGGGTCTCCCCGGCCGACCAGCTGGGGCTCCACTGCACGGCTCCACTGCGGTGCCGTGCTGGCGCCCTCTGCCGGCCGACCGGCACCGACGCCACAATACACTAGGTGCTGATACTGAGAAGGCACGTCTGCCATAATGGTGCCGGTGGCAAGGGTACAGTAGTGCCTACGGAACACTGGTGCCTAGGGCCTACAGACTTAATCTGGTCCTGTTGCACCTAGCTACTCAGGCTCATAACTTGCCAGAGCAGATTCATGTAGCATCTTCTCAGGCTGAAACATGATCAGATATACTGAGCACCTCAATCACCAGGAGAGCCACTAATATTGCTCCAAGCATCTCAAGCTTGAAACCAGCCAGAAGAGATGCAGCTATAGCAACTCAGGTTCTACCTCAAGCCCACTAAACCCTGAAGTATGACATTATCCTGAACTCTCTTCCAGGATGTGGCTGTTACAGTAATCATGGATGCAGCATGTTGGAAAAACATGTCAACCTTCACATCATGGTACCTGCCAGTTGTCCTGGAAGCTGGAGGCCATATGGGCACACAGGTACTGCAGTCAAGTACACAGTCTGCAGCCCAGAGATCCCGTAAATCTACTAACCTATCCTCATAGGAGCCTAATCGTGCCCCAATGTCTAACCAGTTCGCACCAGAGGCCATGATAAACACGCACTGGCTGTTTTTACACAGGCACGGCTGAGGGATTAAGACCTCAAGATTACCTCCACTCGCCTCCGGGTGACGTCTAAACACACTATTCCTCGTGCCTTTATTACACACACACAAAGTCCGTGCAGTCTGTGGAGGCAGACTGTTTGCTGACCATTGTGTGGGCCGTTGTGCACACCCAGAGTATTGAAACATGTTTCGGTAAAAAATATCGTAGTTACGATGTTGTTAACTCAGGGAATCCATACTGCATGCCCCCCCCCCCCCCCCCGTGTCTCATTGCGTTATGGTGCCACTCTGCTTTTGTAGGCATCAGAGGTACCGATATAGTCTGAGTATCTCCCGTGATCCACGGAGCCAAGTCTCCTGTATAACATCTGATATGTCTAGACATGCAGATATATGCAAGCCACGCACCAGCCAATCGGAGTTGACTTTACTAAATCGTGACATATTTCATTCCCAAATCAGGACTAAATGGTTTAATTGGTCAATTTGAATGCGGTGTTTTGTAATACAACAACAGCCTGGTGCTTATCGCATAGCATGATACAGAGCGCGTGACACAGGTTTTGTTTTAATCCATTGTCTATGACGCCAACGGGTGAATGACCAAAGATCCGATATAGAAAGTGCCTGCTGATTGGTCAAAATCTAGAGGTCAAGAGGCGGTTGTCTTGCCTAAATAATCAGCGAATCTGCTCACATATCTAGACCATGATCTATTACATAGACTAGTACCGATAGGGATTTTCTATTCTAATAAAATAGAAAATACTCCCCTCCAACTCTCTCCCTCCTGGGCCGTCACCCCACCACGAAAAAGGGCGAGTTAATATCATCCTGGGGCTTGCATTGTGTGTGGAGTGACAAAACATTCTTTGTTGTCATTGGAAGTGCTTGCACATGTGCATTGGAATTGCATTTGTTGGCATCAGAGGTGAGTATTTCTTATTATAATTGAAAAGTCCTACAGATTTTTGTATAATATTGTTTTCATTGACGGTATCAATTCATAAGGGTCATTCTATAAATTTGGGGTCCAATTCTTTCCAGTCCCTGTTCCATGTGATATCTTTGATTTTGTAATTCAAAGTTACTGACAATAGGCAATCTTTGTCCAATGTACTATTTTCATGCAAATCTTCAGAGGGTTGGCAAATTTTTAATCAAAAGATTTTTTTTAAAGAAATTTTAATCACTTGTTTGTAAAAATCTTGCTTTTGGCAAAGTAAACTGATTGAGGGTCATTTTAATCATTTAAATCAACAGATTCCACTTAATTAAAAAAATGTAAGATATTGTTTACACATTCAAACACGCCTATTTCATCAGCATCGACTCAACTTACATTTAACAATTGTTGACTTGTGTGACATGGGATATGACGATTTGAACACCCGAGGGGCGCATAGCACCCAAGGCGAAACCTATGTATTGGATTTTTTGCATTTTGATGTAAAAATCACGAAAACAAACAGCAGTAAACACAACAATCATGACAATCTAACGACAACTCACACGCATGACGCGTGCTCAAAACAGCTGATAGTCTGCAAGTTGGCTGCGTTTTACGTGTGAAACGCGTGTGTACGCGTACGCATACGTACCGTACGAACAAAGTCATAGCACACTCCCTGTGGGATGTACCTGATATCCCACAGGGAGTGTGCTATGACTTTTTAGAAACTAAACATGTGATCATTCTAGGCCAATGCAAAATACAGTATTTAAGACAGAGGTATAACAATTGTACATATAGTTTTTGCATAATTACCCAAAATCGTTGATCTGATTAAAGTCAAAATCTGAGTTTAAAAGGTTTTCTTCGAATTTTAAAGACAGCACACTCACGTTTGCTTTAATCATTCCTTGATCTGTTTACAGTAATATTGTGAATCAACTGTACTTGTATATTATACACAAGTACAGTTGATTCACAACAGTATAGGCTTATCTGCACCATCAAAATGTGTACATTTGTATTAAGTCCCAATTGATAGTCTTATCCCTAGCATTTCTCCATACAAATTTAGCTTGAGATTTATATAATGCCTTTTAAAGGTGTAAGGCCTGATTTCTGTTCTCCACCTTGGATGAAGGACCATTAATCAAACACTATAATTTACACAAGGATCAGTGCTGCCGGTTTTGCAATTAGAAGCATTTTTTTTATGAAATCAACATGCCGATAGAGAACTGTATTATTTTTTTGGCTACCATGTACACGTACCATACATCACATTTTTCATCCATATCCACAACGTATATCAGCTGTATCAATCAAGCCATGCACCTTCAAAGTGTCTTCAGTATTAAAGGTATAGTCCATCATTTTTAATTTGTGCGTTTTGTTCGTTTGAAGCAACAAACGTGCTCAATATCTGAAAAAGGATGCTGAACAACCAATCTGATGAAGTTTCAGCTTAGCTTCAGCTGCATTTTTCGAGAAAAACACCATTCTAGGATCTCGATTTCAAATCAAAAGGTGCTGAATCATGTTTTGAATTGGGCCTGAATTCAGCGTCCGAGACACGCTCTCACTGAGCCAATTGTAGCTACGCGATGTCGTTGGCGCGTGATTCGCCGAAAAAAACAAACAAACTACTAATTTGAATTTCCTACGGTGCTTCTTAAAGGGAATATACATCATTTGCTTTTGCTGTATTTTTCAGAAATGGATGGAATTGGGGGGTTGGAAATATAAAGCAAATATAGTTACACTGACTTTTTGGAGGTTTTGGGTTCGAAAATGCTATAAAAACCAAGAAAAACGATCATTTTCCTGTAGTCTGGTTCCCTGACTCCATATAAGAAGAAACAGAGCAGTTTACATACATTGGGGAATTGTAAGGTCAGGGAACCAGTCTAGCTGGCTCGTACCCGTTCATAGATTTGTAATCGATTGCAAACAAGTGCAATGGTCAATTGGGGCCAGTATTTGAAAAAAAGCCAGTTGTTTCCAACGCTGATCGGCCGATCAGCGTTGGAAATTGATACAAAAATACCACTTTTCTTGAAAATGACAGTATACCAGGTGCCATAATTTTACAGGATGCTTTAGACTGTCATTTACCAACATCCTATAAAGGTATTTCGTAAAAACTTGGTAATTTTATTTTTCGATGTTTGCAAATGTTGTATATTCCCTTAAGACGCACCGTTGGAAAGGCCTTGTATCGTTGATTTCTTCAAAATGACAGCTTGCCAGAAACAATAATTAAATAGGGAGTTTAGTCCCATTACTATCTTTCAACCAAGTATGTTTTTCAACAAAATTACGCCAGTTACTTTTTGGATAGCTGCAAATGATGGACTCTGGCTTTAATATACCATCAAACCAATGATGTAGACTATATGTAGATGCAATCAATCGGTGATGTTTGTAAATCACTGACTCAATACAATTTTTTTTGAAAAGCAGTTATTAATTGATAGAGATTTTTGGATGATGGGTATAACAGGAACCTGTAAACTCTTTAGTGATGGGTATAAGGGTGCATGGGGAGATTTAGACACATTTTTATACATATCAATATGTTGAAAGTAAAAAAAAAAAAATTAATTTAATAATAAAATCACAAAAATCGCCAACCCTGCAAATTCAGAACAAACAACAAGACTGACTTTGCCCGATGTACTATTTTCATCCACAGCTTCAAATCTATCAGCTTGTTTCCTGTCAAGCTGTTGAGCTGACATAAGGTTAACTTTGTCAAAATATTCCATTGCCATCCACAGCTTCTAATCGATCAGCGTGTATCCTATCAGGCTGACATGCTGGACTGCGCCAAGGAGAGAACAAACTCCACCCTACACTGCCTGAAAGACAAGCTGGATAACTTAGAAGGTCTTGTCAACAATAATTCAGTTGTGGCAAGATCACTCACTTCAACACATACCAGCGTGGACAGTGAAACCTCCCTTAATAATGAGGTATGTAGACTTACGAGAAAAAATGCAGTGGCTAAGCTCCCTGACAAAAATTACCCTCCCATGTAAATCTTCAATAGTGATTTGACTTAATATGGAGGCCTACTTATTACATGACACAGAGATTACAACACTGTATTAGCAACACTGTATTGGAGACAGATGTGATTGGCTGAGGAATAAATCTGGCCATTTACTTCATTTATCAATAATTTTTGGGGGGTTGAAAAATGCCAACGTACTGAAATTGGCTTTGAACTTATAAATACTGTTTGAGATAAACCATTTTGAGTTTCGTCATGTTCATAAATTTGGCCAAAAAGTGGTCATGTTGACCTGAGGGATTTCCTTTAAACGACTACGGAGTAGAGATGAGACTTTAAAATGATCCTTTCAAGGAATAAAAAGGAAATGTTAAAAAGAGTTTCCACAAAATCTATTGTTTTTGTGAGGCAATTATAGGGGCATCATTGAAGGTGCTACTACATGGTAAGTGAATGCGAGCATGTGGTAGCGTGCAGGATTCACTGCATGATAGAATGAAGCGAATACAGATTCTTTTCTAGAATAAAGTGGACTAATATACTCATTTGCTATAGAACAATAGCTTGAATAATGTTTGTAGAAACCAGAAAGCGTTAAAATTACGACTTTAAAAGGGATATTTCTATTATCACTATTCTGCACACCCCTTTTTACGAATAGAAGAGGCACACAGACGGCCGTGCGCACTAGGCGCTGAGCCCCCCCCCCCCCCAGAGCCATTCCCGGATAAGGCGATCCTGTGTTATGCAGATAAGAGGGAAATTAGTTGTAGGCTCTTCTCCAATCAGGAGAAAAGAGGGTCAAAGTTCAACCAATGAGCTTACTGTACCCAGGAAGATGGGGGAAATAGGGGGCTTTAGTTATACCCCACCTCACTTTGTCACAGCCTCTTGATGAAGCATCATCAAAACCTATTTGGAAAAAGTTTTTCTAAATAAGTTAAATCACTTTCTGAAGTTAACTGGATTTCTCCTATAATTTTGAGCGAGATATACTCTAAAAGCCGGCGAAAGTCTTGCAATTGCTCTTGAAAGTTTTTGGGCTGAATTTGCCTGGAGTATATCTTGCTGGATTTACTGGTATTTATTGAACCAAGTTCGCCTGGACTCTTTTCTATCTGGCTGATGACCTTTACGCCAGTGAAAGTTTGATTTATCTTCTGATTTGAGTTATCTGGAGTTCTCCTTGAAGTTTTAGTGGGATATACTCTTATTTGTCTTGCTGACAACCATGTAGCCAGCAAAAGGTTCAACAAGTTTATCTTCTAACTGGAGTTAACTGGATTTCTCCTTGACTATCTAGCTGACGACCTTTATGCCGGAGAAAGTTTGACAATTTTGCCTAGACTCAATTGTTTTCCTTGGTTCCGCATCCAACTAAGCTCTTGTTTAAAAAAGTAACTGTCGCCTACTTTATTGCAACAATGCCTTGACCCTGGCACTTGGTGAGCCGGCCAACCCATTTTGATGATGGCCAGGTCGACGCAGCACCAACTGAGACAAAGAGGACTAATGAGGGCACGATTGCTGCGAATCCTCCAGTACCACTAGCTCCGAGGCCTTGCTAGAAGTTACGGCAATCATCCATCCAGTGGCTATTCCGCAAGTAGCTGGTCCCTCCCCTTTAGGGGGTTGGGGTGAGTATGGTAGTACATGTAGTCCTAATGCAAATTCCCAGCCTCCTTCTAGTTTTACTGCTGTTTTTGACCTGGGTGCAAAGCCCGAGAGTGTGTCCCAAATTGGGATAGGTATGCCACTGGGTATGCACCTACCACAGGCAACTAGAGAGACGATATGTGTCGTCTTTCCAAGCCTCAATCTTAGATAGAACCATGTAACAGTAATGTCATTGTAGAAAGGGCTCGCTTTAACACACGAAAGCAACAGCCAGGGAAACCTATCGATGCTTTCATTAAGGACCTGTACCGTCTAGCTGACCACTGTGAATACGTGGAACTGAAACACAGTCTCATAAGAGATAGAATAGTCATAGGGGTGTCAGATGAGAAATTGTCAGATCATCTCCATTCCAAATCTGACCTCACCCTTGACAAAGCAGTCCAGATCTGCTGCCAGGCGAAATCACGAAAATTAAACCGAGATGTGGTGAGCGGTGAAATAGACTCACCTTCACAAGTCGATCACCTCCGGTCGTCATCTGCATCCCACAAAGGAACGAGTTGAATCGGACAAAGCCAACGCCAAAATGCACAGTCATCTGCCACACCCATGCCCATGGTGTGGGAAAGAATGACATAATCGTGCTCACTGCCCTGCCAAAGACTCGATTTGCTTGAACTGTCACAAAAGAGGACATTACAAAAGTGTTTGTAGTTCACGAGGTGCAGGATCTGCTAGATGATGACTCAGACTTACCATTCCTTGGTGAAGTCTCCTGCAACAAAGACTACTGGACAGCCGAGATATCTGTCAATGGACACAAAACATGCTTCAAGTTGGACACTGGGGCAACAGTTTCTGTCGTCAGCGATGCTGAGCCTTGGCTAGCTGGACAGAAGCTAAATACAACAAGTCAACCCCACGCGGGCCAGGCGGCACCCATCTTCCTGTACTTGGTGTGCTAGATGCAACACTTCAGTATCGGCAGGGACAAATCAAGGAACAACTGTACATCATCCAAAGCCAACACTGTTCCTTGCTCAGCAAAAGAGCATGCATCGAACTTGGCCTCATCAAACGAATCAATGAGGTTCAACCAAGTTCACCACCAGCCAGTTTCCGTGCTGAATTTTCAGCTCTTTTCACGGGTTTGGGCAAACTCAAGACGGAGTACCACATCACACTCCGCCCAAATTGCCAAGCCTGTGAGTCTACATACGCCAAGGAAAATTCCGCATCCGCTTCTTCCAAAGGTAAAACTAGAAATCGAATCAATGCTAAAGACAAGGAGTGATTTCGCCAGTGACTGTACCAACTGATTGGTGCTTGGAAATTGTTCCAGTGCCCAAATCAAATGGCACTGTGCGCATATATGTCAACCTCACACAGCTAAACAAAGAGGTCGAGCGCGAGATTCACCCCATGTTGTCTGTCGACGAAATTCTAGCCGGGTAAAAGCACGATATTCTCCAAGCTCGATGCCAACAGTGGTTTCTGGCAACTTCCACTGGATGATCAGTCAAAATTGCTCACGAAATTCATCACGCCCTTCGGTCGATACTGTTTCAACAGGCTGCCCTTTGGCATAAGTTCTGCACCGGAAATATTCTGGAGGGCCTCGAGGGAGTCATATGCCACATGGACGACATACTCATCCACGGTACATCTCAAGCTGAACATGATCACAGGGTGAGAGCAACCCTACAACGACTGCAAGAGGCAGGACTAACACCAGTGTTGTAGGTCTCGAGATCGGTCTCAGTCTCGGCCTTGGTCTCGAGACCACTTTTTGCTGGTCTCGGTCTCGGTCTCGGTAGCTGTGGTCTCGGTCTTGGTCTCGGTCCCCTTTGGTCTCAATATTTTGGCTGGTCTCGAGTCGAGACCAGCCAAAATGTCGAAATTTGGGTCGCGCACATAAAGCAAAGTAAGTACCAATTTATGCAATAAGGGACAACCATTTTCGGGGATTGTATTGTTAATTAGCCCACCCCTGTTGGTGTTAAGTATTTTTGTTATTTTTTAAATAAATGAGGCGCTCCAAATTAGTGACATTTTCGACCCCAATCTTCTCTTTAATTTGTGATAATATTTTGGAGAAAGAGTACATTTTTCTACCTGATTTTCCAGCAATGAATTTACACACTCTTACCAGTTACCATTCACTGTTGCCATGACAGTGTGTGATAAGACTCGATTTTCTGGCTGCTCATTTGAAGTACCCCATTATTCCCTCAGAAAGCAAAATCCCAGTCAGAAAAAAAATAAAAATTCATATCTGGCTACCGCCTTTCAACTTTTGGGTCTACATGTGCAAGTCGATATTCCATGACTGATATTTTAAAAATAAATCAATGTTTTAATGCTCCAATTTTTTTTGGAAATCAGGTTTACAAGGAGGCCCAATGTAAAATTAAAGTTACATTTAAATATCCGTTAGTAGTCATAGCTGAAACCAAGGGGTGGCTGTGGAGTTTAGGGTCCGAGTCCCTATAACAGATGAAACATCCACCTTCAACTTTTTACTTTTGTCAAGTTCCAACATTGCAAAAAATTAGTAAAAATTGTCGTACTCCTAAGTTGAGAGTTTCTTCATCAGATTTACACTTTATAGTAGTTAAACAATATTTAAAAAAAAATAATTTAAAAAAAGTGGCAACAATTATGGAGTTCATCAATTAGGTTTTGCCCTTCTTTAAACTAGGTTGTTTCCAATTTTTTAATTGATTGTGACAATAACAAATTCTGTTGCCATGTTGTAATTTATGGTATGAAGCAAACATGAAGAGCACTCGCATGACACAATTAAGCAGGTACAAGTGATTCCTAGCTTTCAATCACTTCCTTCACATGAATCACATCCCCATCGACATCATCATCTCCAGGACAGACTGTTCAGCTGTAATTAGTGTCTTGTTTTTTTTATTTAGATTACTGTTATTTATCATCTGCGGTCTCAGTCTCGGTCTTGGACCATTTCGGTCTCGGTCTCGGTCTTGCAACTTCAGGTCTCGGTCTTGGTCTTGGACTATCCGGTCTCGACTACAACACTGACTAACACTCACTAACAAGTGTGAGTTTACAAGGAACACAATCAAGTTCCTTGGCCACATTGTAGATGCATCTGGTCTCCGTGCAGATACCCAGAAGACAGCAGCCATTGTCCAGTTCCCCACACCCACAAACATCACAGAGCTACAACGGTTCATGGGCATGGTGAATCAGCTGGGGAAATTCATCCCTGGACTAGCTGATCTCAATGAACCACTACGACAGCTACTCCGTAAGGATAGTGCCTGGTATTGGGGCGAGGCACAACAGCGAGCATTTCAGCAACTAAAG